TCCGGTACTAACCTGTGAAGGTGGTGCCTTGTTGCAGGTACATCGAAGACCAAGCTGGAGCTATGGCGCCGCAGGTTATGGCGCCGCAGGTAAGTCTCCCTGGCCTCCGCCAACTCTCTCTCTCTCTCCAATGCTACTCTAAGCTCCTAATAGCGCCCAGCGCTGAAGACTACTCCTAATGCCACAACTGCTACTGCAGTGCTCCTCCAGAGTGCTGCTGCCGAATCCTGAAGACTGCCTCCTGCCTCCTGCATGTGAAGTGCCCGTGAACTGCCTAAGAAGTCCCAGTGAACTACCTGCAGCCTGCAGGGCGGGCCAGTACTATATAGTGCTGGCCCGTCCGGGAGGCTGCTCTTGCCAATGCCGAAACGTGCCAGACCCTGGCGTTGAAGTTCGTTGTCTTGAAACAGGCCCAAAACTTGCCTGTGCTCAACCCTGGTCTGGCGCCTAAGTTTCAGGGCAGGTCGACTTTATGAGGGCCTGAAAATGGCCCTCCTTTTCAGGCTTTTAGGCTGAAACGACACAGGGCCTGTAGGGCCCTTATTTTCCGTCTGGTCGGGCCCTGCAGGCCCATGTGGCGGAGCAGTATGCCACAATATGCATCAGTTTGAGGCCCAAGATGATGCGGTGTCTCTCCATGTGTGATTTGTTGCAGTTGTTATTCCAATTTGAAGAGTATCATAATGTAGCTGTAGAATGGTGTCTTTTTTTTTTGTTGGTGTTTGGACAGTGTTGTGAACTGCGTTCTGGCTTGGATTTCAACTGTGTGGACTCTGTGGAGCCTTGGTGTTCGATTGCAGGTCTGGGATGATTGGGATTATCGGAACAGGCTGAGCTTTGGTCAAAGATTTTCCAGGCGAAAACAAATCAATGCGAACGGCAATACAGAAAAGACAAAGGGACGACTGCGAGACAATATAATCGGGAAGCGGACAGACAATAGTGCACGCTCTGTGATCGAGCCTGATCCCTGCCTTAAAATTTGTGAGGTTGGACTTCCGAAGCGATTCATTTACCAAACATGGAAGAAGGCGCTAAAGGTCAACGAAGTTGTAACTGATAAGAATGAGCGGTTGTTGAACTCGGTTATGGATGAGTGGGAGAGAGAGAACTTGAGGCTAGCCCAGAAAGATGAGTATGGAGGTGAAGCATTACTAGCCACAAAGTTGAACCAGATGCGAAGGTCGAGGGATGGAAGTACAAGCAGCAGTGTGGAAGATTGCGAGCGGCAGGCGAGGAGGGAGCTCAGAAGTTATGATCAGCGTCCACAGTCTGGAAACCTTTTCCGGAGACCATTGAGGGAGAATGATTATGTGGTTCTGAATCGACAGCCATCCCTGCATCAACATTCGATGATGGCACTCAAGGTAAAGTTGCATGATGGCAAGGCAATCAAAATCAATCCAGTTGTGGTTAAGCCATTCAATGCAGATTTTGATGGAGACGAAATGAGTGTGTTTGTCCCTGGTCGTTTGGAGTCTCAGGCAGAAGCCCGTGAGCTCATAGCTGTCGATAAACAAGTTCTCTCTGTGCAAAATGGATGCATCACTGTGAGTTTGAACCAGGATACTCTTTTGGCGGCTTACAAGTTGACCAGTACTTTTGTTTTTTTCAAAAGAGAGGATATTTCCCAGTTCTTGCCACTGCTTGATGTTGACAGTGATTGTAATGGTTGGTGGGAATCTTCCCAGAAGAGTGGGAAGGTCACCCCCAGCAGAATCACAAGCGCTGTGCACAGGGGCATACCACCTCCTGCGATCATCAAGTGTGGCCCAGTGAACGGCATATATGGCAGTGGCGAATCATCATCGCATGAGTCAGCAAAAGCAGATTTCGCAGGTAAGATCATCAGGACTCCGTTGTGGACGGGCCAGCAGGTTTTTGGGATGTCCTTGCCCAGATGGCTTAGATACGAATGTGAGAAGGAAAGTGTCTTGGTACATGAGGGCGAGCTCCTGACGAGGGTCGAGGGGATGAAATGGTTAGGATCTACAGAGAGAAGCTTGCTAAGAGCCATCTGGGATCAGAAAGGATTGGCAAGCTCTGGGATAGGTTGCCAAGGAAAGCTTGTACTCAAGCATCTCGACTTGCTGCAGTCATTTGGACACGAGTACCTGATGCAAGCCGGTTTCAGTGTCGGGTTGGGCGACTTTTTGATAGAAGACGGTCAGGGGGAGTTCCAGCGAAAGAAAGCAGACCTCATCAGGGATGCGAAGGAAGAAGCAATTAATGAGTGGTTACTGGCGACAGTCTCGCCAATGGGACATGTCCAAGATTGGTGCAGACGGAAGTCCAAGGAAGGTGGCGACGGCAAAGATGATCGGACCGTGATTCTGAAGGGTATAGAAGTCAATGAGGAATGCTGGAACACTTTCAAATCATTGCGTGGGTTGCAGAGTCTCAGAAAGCGACCTCAGCTCTTCACAAGGGTTACCGCTCCACTGATGAGAGTTACAGAGAAGGTGGGGAAGGAGTTGGAGCTGCATGTGCGAAGAGAGAATTCAATCATGCAAATGATTCGGGCAAGATCAAAAGGTTCAATGACGAATTTTGTTAAGCAGTCCGCATGTGTAGGAATGCATCTGGGGTGGAATGGTGGGGTCTTTCCTGGACAAATTGGTGGACGTACTCTTCCTCACTTCAACAGTGATCCCGGTGGACCAAATCTACCGCCCTCCACAAATGAAACAATAGCAGCAAGCTGCTGGGAAGAGAATGGATTAGTGGTATCTTCCCTTGTAGATGGGCTTAGCCCATCAGAGTTCTTCATGCATGCCATGGGGGAACGTACTGGGCTTGTGCAGAAGTATGTGGGGCTGGGTGATCCAGCGTTCCAAGCAAGGCGGCTTGCACGGAGCATGGAAGACCTCATTCTGGCCTATGATGGCACTGTGCGATTTGGTCAGGTCATCGTGCAGTTCAAGTACGGGGGCCTGGACTGGGGTGTGACCCAGGCAACGAAAGATGGGTCTTCAAGTCAAGTAATTCAACCTGGCGAGGCAGTGGGCATTCTTGCCACCCAAGCGCTTTCTGAACCTGCCAGCCAGCTTATTCTTGATGCACCACATCATGGGGGAATCAACGAGTCCTTTCGGGATCAACTAGCGGTGAGTAGCAACAGCAAGCATTGACACAGAAGGAAATGGGATGTAGACTGTGAAATGTGAAATTGTTGGCCTATGAAGCAAGTCTTGCGAGCTAGGTAAAGTAGTTTTGCATGATACCAAGCCAGCTGAACGTGGAAAGCCATTGCTGAGATGAAGATAAGGAGGATTTTGAGGTAATCAAATATGTTATGGATGCCAATTTGCCAAGTTATTCTGAAATGATCTAAATCCATTCAAGCACACTTGGAAAACTAAAGTTGCATGAGCGGTTGGGAGACTTTGACAGTGCTTCAATACTACTGATTCAGGCAAAAAGCTAGTGCCAATCGTAAGATCTGCTGATTAAGCACTCAACCGCTATTTCTCAACCGCTACTTAGTCTAGGCATGCCATACAGCAGCAAGTGCAAGCAAAAGAAAAAGTATTGATTCGCACAAGCGAGCATGTTATTCTAGACAAGTCATGCAACAGGAACTGCGAGTTGAAGAAAAGATGATGATGCACGTACATGAGCATGTGTACAATAGTTATGAACTTTCGGTGTGAAGATGGACATGCGGGGGATGTGCGGGATGTTATGAGCATCAGGGTGTTTGCACATGCTATCACAAGACTGACAGTTGTAAATTTTACTTCGGATACTTTTTTGTCTCTGTTCTAGTGCTGTGGAATTTTAATTTGGTGTGCTATTGTTATGCCACCCATGCGCCTAGATGCCCCACAGAGAGACTGCACAGTAATCATCAATCAAAGGAGAGGGTCTGGATTGCCAGAGAATCGAGGCAAGAAATAAGAAAGAGAGACTTGCACCTCTTGCCCATGCTGGAGGGCATGGATTGGCAGAAATCGAGAAGCATGAAATAAGACAACGAGACCTTCCCCTCCTGTCGTGTTGTTTAGCTCTGTGGCCAAAATGAAATGTCTGTTGGTCATGATCCATCGCCTGTTTTTTTTTTTTCCATTAGCATTGAACCAAGTTGAAAATCATGGGATGACAAGATTGAAAAAAGATCTGTTCAGAAAGGCAAAAGTAACAGACGGGCGACTGCGCCGTACCGGTGAGCGCATGCACTAATTCAGAAGGGCACGCACGGCGCGAAGTCGGGCGCGAAACTGCCGCGCCTTTTCTCCTTTTTCGAACATACGATTCTGCGCGGGAAAGTGACGCGAGGGCGAGAAGCCCCCCCACGACGCCACGCCACGCCTACGGGCGTGGCCACACGAAGAACGGAGAAGACAAGGGGGGAGAGAGAGAGGAGAGTGGGGGACAAGGAGAGTAGGAACAACCGAATGAACAGCGCGAAGCACGGCTATTAGCAAGGAAAGACAAGGGACGGAAAAGGACCCAGGAAGAGGACAAAAGCAGGAATGGAGCAATGATAGCAAGGGAGCGAGGTCAAGAGAATTTCGGCCAACAGGAGGAGAGACACGCCCAGACAGGGAGCAGGAATCGGTAAAACCTCTTATGCAACGCATCCCCACATCACGCAAGTTCCGAAAACTCCCAAGAACGTCTACGGTAAGTTAGAACCCACTCAAGCACCACTTCCGACCCCACCTGGCGCGAGCGACAGTGGAAGGACAAGAACCCAAGCGACAGCGAAGGACATCAGCGAGAACGAAAGGGACAAGCGCGCTCGAGGACTCCCAGCCAGACCTGGGAATAGCAATCAGGAAGACAAGAACCACAAATCGTAGAACCAAACACTACCAGAGCTAACAGCGCATACCCAAACGTCTAGCCGACACCCAATCACAGCACGTAGAAGAAGTTCAAACCACCAACAGCACTCCGCAAACCGACCCAGATCTGCCTTTCCGCCCGTCGTTTTTGGCAGTCGCATTCCCGAGAAGCGACGATCCCCACCCTCCCACCTCAACCTAACACCCTAGCCCCAGCCCCACCGCCGTCTACTCAATCTCCCCACCCTCTCCCCAATCAATTCCCCCGACACATCCTATCCCTGTCTCTTATACACATCTAGATGTGTATAAGACCATCGAACACACCATCAGCAAGGAACTCAGATCCGGAAGCGCAGGAAATTTAGATTATTTATTTCACTCTTTTTAACATTCTTTTTAACATTATTAATAATTATTCAGTATTCAACTTTCTTCGTTTTAACATTATTATTCAGTATTCAATATTCGCTTCAGCCCTTTCAATTTTCACCACCATTTATTACACTTCATCTTCGCTCCCTTTTACGAGAGCACATTTGCCGAAAAGGCATGTTGCATGCCAAATGTTAAGGAATTGTTTTTCACTATTAGTAAGAACAGTCTATATCGACCTCGGTTTGGAATCACTATCCCTCACAAAGAGGAATTGAACCACTACCCACTTGCGAGACCGCTCAGGCTTTAGAACCTGCCCTAACCTCTGATTAGGCCTTTTTTTTTCCTTTTTCTTTTTTTTTAACAAACCAGGGCCTTATGGCCCTGGCTCCTTTCCATTCTGGGGAGCATCAGTCTGGTTCCTATTCCACCGGCAAGTCAGAATAGATATTACAATAAGAACCACCCACGCTTCCTTCCGTCTGGCCGAAGGACCCCTGAGCAGCATTGATTGCTCCACCTTGGTGGAGGATTGACTGCCAGCTTGCCAAGCCTCACTCTTTCCTCTCAGACCTGATAACCAGATCTGCCAGATAGATCCATGCCACCTAGAAAGAGCTCACCCATTGTCCAAGCTAGCCTTTGTACCCCCACTTACCCGTCCTACCCGTGAGCCACAATACCCTCAGTCCCACCTTACCTTCCCCTGTTTTTAAGAAGATCACTAAAGCCCTAAACCCTGAATCCACATCCGGAAACCATTGTCCAAACTTCCGCAACTCTTCAACTCCCCGCCTGAGCTGGGCCTTACAGATTAATTGCTGGGACCTTGCCTGTTCACCCTGAAGTGATATGTAGTCATCTTTCCATTGTAACCTGACTCCACCACCTCTCCTTTCCCCCCCTTTACTTCTTGAGGTCCCTGCTCCTACCGAGAACGTCTGATCTCGTTTGGTTCAATTGCCACTACTCTGCCAGTATCCGCTGTGCCGGAGTCTCTGTCTCGGAGTTTTGAGAGCCTTCCCTTAGGAGTGGTTAACACGAAGCTCTGCCACCTTAGTCCTTCCCCACCACAGTCTGAAGAGTCTCTTACTGTTCTTCTCTTGCTCTCCCTCATCCTCAGGCAGCGAGGACTTCCGCCTTTGCCATCTGCCAGAAATTTCATTCTGCAACAAGGACTTCGTCTCTGCCCTCATTTTCTCTCAGAAATTGGCTAACCTTCGATGGTTCTGACGTCTCTGACCTTCGGGATACCCCATACTGTCGCCTACCGGATGTCTCTGACTTCGCTTAGCTCAATTTTCTCTCTGTTACTTCCGCCTTCTGGTCCCGTCCGCTCATTTCTGGATTATGCCAGTTCTTCCAGTGTAACCATAGTTGTGGCGCACCAGTGCGCAGTGCGGTGCGGGGCGGTGCGGAAGTCGCTGTGCGCTGGAACAACAACGCGCGCACTGTGCGCTGTGCGCTGTGCGCTGAAATCACACTTCTGATTATTCAACTTGTCATGTATGCAAACAGCGAAACAGCAAATTGGCGACAGGCGCCCACTCAGTACTCAAGATATCGTATCCACATAAGAGTTCTCTTCAAACTGGCTATGGCGACTGAGCGCCCACACAACTCACTGTTCGCACTCTGGATCACCCTGGATGTCCCACACGCAACACTCAGTATCACACTTCATACACACACATGCTAGGCTACAGCTATGGCAGCGCTAGCTGCCACTACCTATCGCTGCACTCTACTCCTCTGCCCACTTCGTCTTCGGGCACTCTGCAGGCCTCCTCGCACAAGCTGCTAGTCAGTGCTTCTGCATGGCATCCGCAGGAATGAATGAATGAATGGACGCAGCCTCTTGATTTATACTTCTGTGCTGCATTGGTCTGCCTTGTGTCCCTGGCCCATGGTGCACACAGTTCCCCCCGTGGTACCTTCTAGACTCTCTCCAACATGGGCTTCTAGACTCTCTCCAACATGGGCTTGCTTTAGTCACACCACTTGCCCACTTGCCTGCACCACTTGACCACTTGCCTGCACCACTTGACCACTTGCCTGCACCACTT